ACTCTCTCAGCCTCGTTACACCCACATTTTTTCAGGTTTGCTTTCTTTCATGGCACGAAGATAGAAGAAACTTGGAGTGACATGGGGTTGGGGTCAGGCTGCCTGCCTGCAGCAGGAGGACCTGCCGTCCTGCTTACAGCTCTCCCGTGGTTCTTTGCGAATCCTGACCACAGCACCACACTACCACGGGAGCCTGAGCAGCGGTGGAGATCTCTGGGGAACCTTTCTCTGCATCATCCCCAGGCTTCGCCGCGAGGAAGGGGGATGAGGGGCAGTGAAAGTCCTGGCCCTGCTTCCATTGTGGATCAATTCCACAATGGTGGTGTGGTGTGGTGGTGGCTTTGGGCTGGCACGTAGAGAACGGGGAGGTCTCTGCCTTTTGTATGGGAACAGCCAGAATAAACTTCTGTCAGTCCTTGGGCCTCTGTGTTTTCTGCGTCGGTACCTGGCCCCAACCCTGGCTCAAAGTGTGTTTCTGTTCCCGATGTCTTCAAGAAGCAGCCCATTCTACAATGGGAGAAATGCCATCACTGTCCCTGGCCGGGCACTGACCTCGGGGTCTGGCAGCGGTGGTGGGCAGGAAGGAGGGGGAGGCAGTGAAATCTCAGCCCATGCTGCGGTTGTGCCTCCCTCCCGGCTCCCCCAGCCATGTCATCTGCTCCCCTCGACCTCCTTATCTAGCCAAGAAGGGCTGTGGCAGTGCTGGGTAGTCCCCAAGGATGGGGGGGACCTGGGCTGCTGAGCAGCGCAGCACGTGGCAGGAGAGGCAGACAGCCAGCACTGGGGACCGGTGGCCAGTGTCCCCTCCAGCCTCGAGTGTCACCAACATGGCAGGACCAAACCCCAGCAACAGCTGCCCGAGCAGGGCCAGCCGGTAACTGCCGCTGTTCTCTGCCGGCAGCGTGCCGGGGCCGAGCGGCTGTAGCCGGGGTTATCGCTGCCTCCTGGCTTGTTTTTTCCCGTGGTGCCTGAGCGAGGCCTCACGGCTGCCCCGGCCCGGCCTTCCCCTCCCGGGGATGATAAATCTGTCGTGTCTGGTGCGAAGCCCTGAGGTCAGCAGCCAGTTCAGCGTTTCTCATCGCTCCGTCCCGCTTCCTCGGGGCCAGCTCCTGCCCCGCTGACAGCTTTACTGCCAGTGCTGCCTGGCTGTGTTTACCTCCCGACCTGCTGTCCTTGGGCTGGAGCGCTGCCCTCCGGCCGGGCTCAGAGCCCGGCACCACCGGGAACTCGCAGGCCTTTGCTGTCGCGGTGTGCAAGGGCAGCTGAAGCTGGGTTAGAACATGCAGGAGGAGTCTGGGGTGATGCAAAGGATGCCCCAGCCTTGCCCCACTGCTGCCTCCTGCACTAGGGCTCGCAGCACCTCGTGCCACTGCCCTGGCCCCCCTGGCAGGCTGGCACTGTCCCCCTGCTAGCCCCTGCCCTTGGCCTCTTGCTTCCCACCCTGGCTGGGGTGATGCTGGGTGACGGCAGTTTCCTATTGTGCGCTGGGGTGGGAATGGTCCTGTCCCTTCCCCCAACTGGGACCAGCTGGACCCAGCTCGGAAACATCTTCCTAAATGCCTTTGTTCACCCCACGACGTAGCGGCTCCCCCGGCTGGTTTTAGACCATTTGTTTGTCTGTTCCCCTG